GTGTGTTGGGATTGGAATCCAGGCTCTTGAACATGCTAAGCACATGCTGTACCACATTTATTACACACACACACACACACACACACACACACACACACACACACACGCTCTCCTGATGCTGTTGGCTGAGGACCACACTGAGGAAGGAGGGAAAAAGGGAAGAGGGAAAGGGAGGGAGGAGGGAGGAGGGAGAGTTTAATTACTTTTCTTGATGCTGTGACTAAGTAACTGACCGAAAGCATCTCAAGGAAGTGTTTCTTTGGGCTCCCAGTTGGTCGAGGCCATTACAGTGGGGGAGGCTGGAAGAATGTAAGGTCATGCTGTGTCTCTAGTCACAGAGAACAGAAATGAATGTGGTTGCCCAGCTGTCCCACCATTTCAGAGGTCTCTCTGGAAGCATCCTTGTGGGCATGCCCAGAAGTGTGTCCGCTGGTGACTGCAGATCCACTGAAATTGGCAATGGTGGCTGACCACCAACTAAGGAGGGATGAGAAGGGGAGGGAGAGGAGAAAGAGGCTGGAGAAGAGGGAGGAGAAGAGAGAGGAGAGGAAGAGGGGAGGAAGAGGGGGAGGAGTCCTTCAAGCTGGCTTTTGTAGCCTCATGGAACATTCATGTCCACATGTCACACGCAGGTGGAAGGCAAATTCTCAGAAGGAACATACTGTGTTTTTTTTTGTGTGTGTGCCTGTGTGTTGGGGTTGGAATCCAGGCTCTTGAACATACTAAGCACATGCTGTACCACGTTTATTATACACACACACACACACACACACACACACACACACACACACACACACCCTCTCCTGATGCTGTTGGCTAAGGACCACACTTTAAGTGGCAAGGGTCTGGTTGGTCTAGTCCCTGAACTCTGTCAATCCTGACAAGGTGGAACTGGAGGAACAGGAGAGAGTGATGCTTGGAGGGAAGCAACCATCTCCTGATGGGGAGATCTCAGGCAGAGGGCACAATGCTGGGGTGTGGGGCTGCCCATCATCTCTTGGGCTGTGCATGTGGACTCTTGGCCACTCCACTTAGGACAAAAGCCAGTCACAACATTATGGTTTGTGGGGGTCTGGGAAGGCCAGTGCAAAGAGGACTGCCTGATGCCAAGCCAACATCTCTGGTAAGATACATGGAACTTTAATGTGGAGCCTGACCTTGAGCTGGCAGTGGCTGGCTGTGAGCAATTTTCTCAAAATCCCAATTCTCAAACATTGAGATTCATTGCCATGCCCCTGTTCAGCCACTGGTGGATAGAGAGGTGCTGTATGTGTGCCAGGCATTGCTCAAGAGACGGGAGGGAGGGAAAGGCGTGGAAATCAAGACCAAGATTCTAACGAGTGTTGAAAAGACGGAGCAGACGCCATAACAGGCTGCCCAGTCTTCTCTCAGAGATCAGCCCTCAATTTCAGTTTCCTGAGACTTGTGCAGTCTCTGGGAGGGCCATGAACAAAAGACACAGTCCTTGCAGTAGCTCCCTTTCTGCACGTACTCTGACTGCTCAAAGTTCAGCCAGATGTTTACTGTCTGGGACCCCTCACCAACTAAGAGCTACGTGCATGGATCAATGTGAATGTGGGAGGCCAGCCAGCCCCCGTGACAGCTCAAGGACAAAGCCTGGGACTTGTCCAGGCTTGCCCCAAAATGGATAACTGTAACCCCCAACTAACCCTAGCCAATTAGAAGTTACTAACACGATTGCCACTCAAATAAACCAATCCTGTGTCTGTTCCTATGTAGTCTGTAGTCCCCACCCCTTGCTTTAAAAATCCTGCCCCGTTGCTACTCAGGGTCTCTCCTGCTCTGCTGCTGTGTTAGATGGACAGACGGAGAATCCCGAGTTAACTCGAAGTAAAGACTCTTTGCTTTTGCATCAGATTCAGTCTCTTGGTGGTCTTTGGGGGACTCTGGGTACAAGAAGTGTAAATAATGGGCATAGATAAATGCTCACTGGTTACATAGCTGGTGATAAGCTCTATGGATAAACAAACACTTGGGAATTGGCGGCAGTGGCAGCGGTGGCGGCGGGGG